CACACACACACACACACACACACACACACACACACAGAGAGAGAGAGAGAGAGAGAGAGAGAGAGAGAGAGAGAGAGAGAGAGAGAGAGAGAAAGAGAGCCATCCATGAACCAAGACATGTCTCATCAGACACCAAACCTGCTCAGTACCATCACTCTTGACTTCTAATTTCTAGAACCATGAAAAAACAATTTCTACTTTATCCATTATTATCAACCAGTCACTGTGTGGTAACTTGTTAGAGCTACCAAAATAGACTAAGAACAGTTTTGGACCTATTCAAACCTCTCCCACAACAGGGACCTTGTCCTACCAAGCCTCCACTTGTGACTGGCTGTGAACCAGGCCTAGGCATTACTCATACTGTTGGTTATGGGTTTGGCAGTGGCTATGGCTAGGATCCCCTCCTTCTATGTCCTAGTGCATCTTCTAGAAATTCAGACACACAGCAGTCACACACATCCCCATTCCCAGATATAGGCAGCCAGAAATGAACTCAGAAGTAGACCTCTGTCTAGAAGGCTCTCACTAAATAAAAAGACTTCAAGGTTCTGCAAGCCTGACCATGCCTCTTAGGATGCTGGAGCCAACATGCTTCCATTTCAGGGTGGACTTATTTCACAGTTTTACAAGAACACAGGGGTTGCTATTAGGAAGGTCCAGTGAGCCAGGCGGTGGTGGCACACACCTATAATCCCAGCTCTCGGGAGGCAGAGGCAGGTGGATCTCCATGAGTTCGAGGCCAGCCTGATCTACAGAACAAGATCCAGGACAGCCAGAACTGTTACACAGAGAAACCCTGTCTTGAGAAACTTAAAAAAAAGGTGTAAAGAGGGTCCAAAGGGGGCTAGGGAGATGGCTCAGCAGTTAAGAGCACTTGCTGTTTTTCAGAGAACTCAGGTTTGGTTTTCAGCGCCTGTATGGTAGCTTATAACCATTCTTAATTCCAGTTCTAGGGGGATCTTTCACCCTCTACTGGCCTCCTTGGGTACCAAGCACACATAAAGAACACATACATACACGTAGGCAAAACATTCACACACATAACATAAAAATAAATTAACAACGAAAAAAGAAGGCCAGAGACCCAGGACGGAAGGATTGGGTTTTCTCCAGTATGATGCCCTAGTGGCCACTGTTCCGGGTAGGGCGAGGTAGGCTCCCTTACCTCTGGTGCAGGATGTAAGTGATGACGGAGGCAAGGAGGCACAGGAGCATGACTGCAGTGCAGGCATACACCACGGGGTGCAGGAACTCCCCTGGGTACTGGGGCAGGGAGAGGACAGTCTTCAAATCCTGGAAAGGAAGCCGAGACTCGAGTGACTGATCCGGCCAGGATTCTTTATGTGATTTGTCAGGTGTCTCAGGAGGGGGCAGGCTGGTAGCTGACAGACCCTCTGCTCAGGGGCTAACTTGTGCAGGGTGTAGGGCATCGTATCCCAGGAGCTCACCTGGGATCGGTGTCTTCCCAGGGCTGCTCAGCTGAGAGCATCTTCCCATGACTCCGAGAGCAGCTCCCGGAGGGACCACTTCCACAGTGCCCACACCTGCCTCCAGCCTCCTTTCTCTCCATGTCACCAGCTTCAACTGCATGCATGTCTGCTGCCTTCAGAGAAGCTATAGAACCCTCAGCCTCCCCAGCCCACTTCTGTGCCCCACATTCATTGACATTATGCTTTTAAATGGCTCCCTAGGGAATTCTGCACTATGTTTCGGCAGCACTAAGACAGTGGCATTGACCTGAGCAGATGGAGAGAAGTTGTTATGAACAGTAGGTATGGCCTCAGGACCTTTTCCACCTTTACCCACTTTACTGTGTATCAGAGCTGTAGTAACAGGTTAAAGGTCACAGTTCAAATGAAAGCATGGCTTTCCTGTGGCAGGGAAACACAGAGGAATGGATGTCTGGAACGGGAATACTTAGAAATCCTTGGGGCACTGGGTTAGGTGTTCTTGCTACTATGTTTAGGGTAAGAGGGTCAAGTCTTTGCTTGACCTTGAAGAGACACCTGGTCAGTGGGCAGCCAGGGCTAGTGCCCACAGTGTCCTCATATGTCTCACACTTCTGGGTCACAGCTGGTGCAGGGCAGAAGTCTGAGAGGTGGGTGTGGACATGGGTATCACATGAGCAACTCTCTAGAAGACATGGGGTTCAATGGGTGGGATGCCATGTAGCCTGTGTCCATCTCAGATAATGATTTCCTAATGAGACATTAGCGTTGCGGAATATTTGTTCAAACCAGGCAAAGATGTCTCACATTTGTTCATGCTATGTAAAGACGTGTTGCATTTGCATCAATAGAATAAAACTAACGTGGCTCAGAGACGTGGGGTCAGCAACTGGTTGACCGGAAGTAGCAGAGAGGAGCTTAACGCGGGTGTTGTTTTAGCTGGGGCAGTGTGGAAGTGGGTAGCTTCTGGGATGCCAGCAAAGAGTTATCCAGTTGCTATTCTAAATCTCTGAGCTCACGAGTTTTCACCCTAGCCTTTGAATCATTGTTTGGGGGTACAGAAGTCCCCCCCCCCCAGGCTACGGCCTTAACAGCCGGCCGCTAGTAGTTTAAGCCGTAGCCGCTGTAATGAGGTAAAACAACACATTGGAAAGCTATCCTTAGTGCAGGCACACTGTAGTGCTCTCCATTGGGCACCACCATATCCTACCCTCCTGACTAGGAAACTTGCCACACAGGGCCCAAGGAAGGGAACTCAGCAGTCAAGATATCTACAGGATGGTCCAGCTAAGGAAGGATGCCCCATAGGGCCATACATCTGTACCCCAGGAAGCCCTTAGAAATGCCAGCCAGCAACAACTGCAGGAGGAGCCAGTGCCTGAGTGAGGACAAGGCACCTGCCATGGAATGGGAGTTTCTGAAGAGGGTGAGCACTGTTTCCCCAACGTGTGTGTCTTCAACTGGCCCCTTCTTCCTGGACATCCAACATCTAGTCTGATGGCTCAGCCCAGTTACATGGCATCCATTTGCCCATGGGTATTTTTAGGAACATGGCCAGAGACTACCTCACTGTCTAAGTAACAAGAGCCTCCATTAAGATTGCCTGAGTGCCCCTGACTTCAAAGGCTAGCTGCTTCCTGCAGTGTGTTGAGCAGAGCGCCCCAGACTCAATGTAGAGCCTCCTCCTCCAGGACACTTGCTCTCCTAGGGAGCCCACGTGCCCTCCCTTGGTGTCTGTCTGCTGGGTATTTGTGTTTGCTATGGGCTGATAGAGGACACTCTGCGGCCCCTGTGAGCACCAAGGCCATTATTCTGTTTGTCTCGGCTCAGCTGCTTCCTGTCAGACAGGAGCCAGCTCTTGAGTCATGGAAAGCACACTTGCTGCTGAGATCAGGATACCCACCCACCTGATGAGCTTGTGTTACTGGGAGGTGGGGTTCCTTGTGGGGCTCTAAGAGCTCTGGGTTCAAATGGGTTCAGGTGACATCTCCAGGTTCTTGTGCACATGGGTCTTTTCATGGGGGTCTTATATTTTGATCCATTTTGGCCATTGTTACGAGTGAGTGAGGGAGAGGGAGAGAGAGAGGGAGAGGGAGAGGGAGAGGGAGAGGGAGAACAAGAAAGAGAGAGCGCATGAGAGGGAGAG